GCAGCGGAAACGACGACGGCAAGGGCGGAGCGGAGAAGAGACCAAGAGAGAGAGGGAGACGACGACGAAGACGACGACGATGACAACGAGTGGTCTGGAGGCGAGCCCGAAGAGTCGCAACTCCTCGCGGCTGCTGGTCGGGCATCGCTCGCGGGCAGCCGCTCACCTCGCGATGTAGTGCACGTGTTTCATGAACTGCAGGTGGCGTAGCGACCTCACCTCTGGAGCGGCTGGCGCGCGCTGCATTCAAACCTCCCCAGACTTTACTCGAGTCGTGAACAAGCTGGACGGACGGCGTTTCGCACTTGTTCGATCTCCGGGAGTCCGTGGTAGGCCTCGAGGCCATGAAAACATGCTTCAAGATGAACAGCCAGTCCCCGGGAAAGGATCCAATCCTCCGGGGGTACACGGTTCAACTGAACGAAATGAACGTCGGTGATCTCGGGAGATCAGCCCCGGAAGCCTCCTGAGACGCCGCATCTGCCTTCGGAGAAGGCTCAGCAAATTTCTCTGGAGGCCCGGGGGTTGCTCAGAAGCCCCCGCCGCCTTCTGAGAAGGCCTGCCCCGTCCAAAAGGTATATCCAGTGACGTCTTGATCTCGCCGTTGCAGAGAGCTCGTCGCCCAAAAAGTCATTGTTAAGTGCCGTTGTTGTTCGATGGGGAGAAGATCTCACTTTCCCCCGGGCTCGCCGCCGATCTCGGATGGAACCGAATGCCTCAAAATTAGGTCGGGCATGTCCCCCATGCTAGCGGATTGTGGACGACAAAAAAGTTTTGTCATTATTCCGGGTAGCGGTTGTTGCCATGGGGAAGGGCTTGGGCTGGCGGGTAACGGTAACGGCGGCCGCGGCGGCGTGCTGTCGCCAGAGTGCGTCGTCGCCATCGGCACATCAATTGCCTGCGCGCGTTGCAATCCTGCGTGCAAGACAACGCCGCCTGAGTGCACCACCGTGCTTCGGTACACCGCAACAGCTGCGAACACAACGGCACCACGTCGCCCATGTACGCCACAATATCTGTGTATATACTGCAGCAGCCGCGTGCGCAACGGCGCTTGTGTACACCACATTGCATGTGTGCACCAGAGCGCTTGTGAACATCGCAGCGCCTGCGTGCACCACGCCAGATCTTGAACGACATCCGCGCATGGAGGACCCTGGAGGCCCTCGACCCCGTCTTCGGCGCAGTGGGTTCGTTTCTGCGGGTCCCGGGGCCCGAAACGGACTGACGACGACAACGAAGAGAACGACGACAACGGGTTCGGGAGGACGTGGGGGGAGGGCTGGAGGAAATGCGAAGACGTGGAAGGACGTGGGAATTGGCCCTGCTGCTGTTGAGGACTCCGTAATCGTATCTGGAGAGCAGTATCGACGGCACGCAAACTGCAAGGTTGGCACGGTGTATGATTTCGGCAAGACCACCCGTAGCTTGCTTCGAACAAGTCGGCCAAGAGGATCTGGACATGTATGGGGGGAAGGGAAAACTCTGGAGCGAAGCGGGGGGGGGACGGAGGCGGGAGGGAGTGGTGGAGGTTGGAAGGAGGTGGGACTTGTTTTATTGCATGGCACATGAGCAGATAAGAGCGAACAGCCACATCGCACCTCGGCGCGCCAGCGCGCAACGAAAATGTCACGAAATTCGGCCCGCAAGTGCGAGCGAAAACCTTCGAGGAGGACAAGGAGGAGCGAGGGAGGACGAGGCGAAGGGGCAAGGGCGCTGTGAGGATAACCCCATGTGGCCCAAACGGCCACTTTCATCATCCCAACAACGCACAGCGCAATCCAGAGGGGAAGACGAAGGAGAGGAGGCGGAGGAGGGGCAGAGGACGACGAAGAAGGGGGAGGATATTAGTAGGCGGTGGAGCAGGCGGGAGGAGGTAGGATCATGTTATGCCATACAGCAACTGCACTCATGGCATCGTTCGACTTCGCCTCGCCTTCGTCAGCGCCAATGGTAACACACGCGGGGTAACCGGTGCTCCACTCAGACATGGCTGTGACATCCCCCGGCAGCATTGCTTCCAGAGTTCCACCAGTAGGAAGAGCAGGATAATATAGCATAGATATGTAGACGTAAACCACACTAGTCTGCGCACTTCAAGAGCCTGCAGGCGCCACAACAGGTGGGGAACCTGCGAACGCCACAACACGTTTGTGAGCACCACAGATGCCTTTCAGCACCACGCCAGGCCTGTGAGCACAGCGCCTTACCTGCTGAGAGGAGGGGGGTCCGCCCTCCACCCCACCCACCAAAAAACCAACGATCGTTAGCGTTACCCGGGGAGGGGGGGGGGGGCCGGGTAGCAAGCGTTACCCGCCAGAGGGGGGGGGGAGGGGAAAAAAACTCACTGCAAAATATTCGGGAGTGCTCAAACGTAGACCAAACAACAAATTAGGAACATCTTCCCCAGACTATTGCTTGACCATGTTTGTAGAACGATATGTCCGAGTTCACCCCAGAGCCCCACGCAGAGCAGGCCGGGGCGTCGGAGGCACGGGACACAGCACACCGCCCACGCAGAGCAGCATCTGTCCCGGGCACGCAGCCCGTGCCTGGGGCAGCTGCGTCTCCTTCTCGGCACGGCATGGGGGCTGATGCTGCCTTCCCAGACCCCGTCGGATCATGGAAAGATCCCGGCGGCATGTTTTTATTGTTATGTTCGGCCTCTGGGGGCCCCTGCCGGCCCGCAAGACAGTCAACAAAACAACGCAAGACGACAACCGAGTTCAAGGAAAATTCCCCTGAACTCGGTTTCTCATCCCATTGAATGCGTCGACCCCTGGAGGTCTGGACCCATTGAATGGGTCGAGGCTCCTGGAGGGTCGGCCCCTGAATGGGTCGAGACCCGTGGAGGTCTCGACCCACTGAAGCGGTCGAGACCTCTGGAGGGTCGACCCCTGGATGGGTCGAGACCCCTGGAGGTCTCGACCATTTGAATGGCTCGAGACCTCCGGAGGTCTCGACCCACTGAAGTGGTCGAGACCCCTGGAGGGTCGACCCCTGAATGGGTCGAGGCCCCTGGAGGTCTCGACACATGGAGTGGGTCGAAACCCCGGGAGGTCTCGACCCACTGAATGGTTCGAAACCCCTGGAGATCTCGACCCATTGAATGGGTGGAGACCCCTGGAGGGTCGACCCCTGAATGGGTCGAGACCGGTGGAGGTCTCGACCCACTGAAGAGGTCGAGACCCCTGGAGGGTCGAGACCCCTGGATGGGTCGAGACCCCTGGCGGTGGAGACCCCTGGCGGTCTCGACCCACTGAAGCGGTCGAGACCCCTGTATAGGTCTCGACCCATTGAATGGGTCGAGGCCCCCAAAGGCCCCCACCCATTGAATGGGTCGAGACCCGGGAGGTCTCGACCCATTGAATGGGTCGAGACCGGTGGAGGGCTCGACCAACTGAATGGGTCGAGACCCCTGGAGGTCTCCTCCCGCTGAATGGGTCGAGACTCCCGGAGGTCTCGTCCCATTCAATAGGTCGACACATTTTGGAGGTCTCGACACATGGACTGGGCCGAGACCCCTGGAGGGCCGACCCCTGAATGGGTCGAGACCCCTGGAGGTCTCGACCGACTGAAGGGGTTCAAAGACCCCTGGAGGTCTCGAACCACAGAATGGGTCGAGACCCCTGGAGGTGTCGACCCCTGAAGGGGTCGAGACCCCCGGAGGTCTCGACCCAATCAATAGGTCCACACCCCTGGAGGTCTCGACCCATTGAATGGGTCGAGAGAACCCTGGAGGTCTCGACCCATTCAATGGGTCAAGACCCGACGACGACAACCACGACCGAAGACGACGACGACGACGACGAAGACCACGACCGAAGACGACGACGACGACGACCACGACGAAGACGACGACGACCACGACGACGACGACGACGACGACGACGACGACGACCACGACGACCACGAGCGAAGACGACGACGGCGGCGGCCTCCAGGGTACGACGTCTTGAAAAAAACAGGACGTCGGGGGTCTGGGCCGCTCGAAGCCCTCCGTGCCCCCCGATGCAGCCTCCAGGGCGTCTCGCGGCGGGTCGGGACGCAGGTGTGCTGCGAGGGCGCTGCCAACCCAAACGCCCTCGGGTAATGAAAAAATCATGGCGGGAGGTTTTTTGCTATTTTCGCCCTCTGGGGGCCTTCACCGGCCCTCGAGACCGTCAAACAACGACTCAGGGCGAAAGACCGGTCCAGGGGAATGGCTCGAGACTTCCAGGGGTCGACGTAATGAAACAATCATGACATCGAGGGTCTGGGAACTGCCCAGCCAGCCCCTGCAGAATGCGACCAGGCGATGCAAAAGCGAATCGGGCAGGGACGATTCACCAAGTCGAAATTTCTCGCCTGGGGCGCTGGCTGCAGACTGGCGGCGTCGGCGGCGACGACGAGCCGGGAAGATCTTCTGAATCGCCCACTTCCCGGCGGGGCGCTGCGGCCCCCCACCCCCTGGTATGTATGAACGGCCCGGTCGCACAACCGAGGCTCATCTCTGGCCAGGGCCTCTGGCGCAACTGAGGCGCGCAACGTCACTGCAGTGTCCACCACTTCCGCGGCAGAGTCCCAGGGACTCACACAAACAAAGGTATTTTCAAGTTTCAGGGTTCTGATGCTTGCGTATTTCTATGGTGTTCTGTCTTTCCAACCCGTTCCCGCTTTTGCATATGCTCATGTAAAGCGACGATTGTGTGTGTCTGTGGCTGTTGTGTTTCCATCCTCAAGCAAGAGATGGCGACGCGCCTGCTGCCCTCCCGCCGGCGGACTGCACCTGCATTCCCCTCCTCCCTCGAGACTGCCTTCAAAACCTGAGGGCTGTTTTGCCCGCGGGCGTCAGGATCGGCCGGGAGCGCCGCAACGGCTCCCGCCAGCCCCTGCCGCCGCTGGTCCCAGCGCCCAGGCGTCCAGCTCACCTGGGTCCTCCTGATCGCACCGCGCGAGCTCGCTCAGGAGCGCCTCCCTCCAGACCGCCATCGCAGCCGCTGCGGCCTCCCCCGCGCCGCTCACAGACCCGCCGTCGTCTCGGCAGGTCCCTGAGAGGACGAGAATGACGTCAGGGTTGGGGATTGGCTCAGGATGGGGTCCAAGACTCTTGAGCACCTGGCGGCCCTTGCTTCCGGAGCACGTGGTCAACATCAAGACAGACGAGGCTTTCGAGAAATCTGGGGAATATCCTGGAACAAATCGTTATCATGACCTCTTGCAAGGTCGCTCCGAGTTGCGCACTGGCAGCCCCCACAAGGTAGCCCCAGCTGGCCTCAACAGGCCCCCCGATCGAGTAGCCCCAGCTGGTCTCAACAGGCACCCGAATATTGAGTCGGGCATGTCCTCCTACAGGCGGACTTTGGACGGCAAACAAAAAAATATTCACTGCGTGGAGCTCCCCATATGTGCATTTGTTCGCATGGACCTGTCCGCCGTGAATGTCTAGGCGCAAGAGCTTTCGAGTATAGACGGGCTTCAGTTGTGACGGTCTGGTCATGAATCTAACTGAGAATGCATTGGAGTATGAATGAGCCTCAGTAGCACGAGCGCGCCTCTGCGCATGAGCCTGGGTCCTCCTGGGCCTCCTGGGGCCTCCTGGGGCCTCCTGAAACCTACTGGGGCTTGCTGGGGCCTCCAGGAGTCTCTTGGGGCCTCCTGGGGCCTCCTGGGACCTCCTAGGGAGGATTCGTGCCCCAGGAGAGGCCCAATCTATAGCAACAAACGTACATAAAACATTGCGGATTGGAGCCACAGGAGAAGGCGGCAATTTATTGGAACATACGTAAAACACCAAGGACTCGTGCCCCAGGAGAGGCCCTATAGGAACATAAGTACACAGAAGAAGGACAATATATAGAAACATACGTATAACATCAAGGATTCGTGCTCCAGGTGAGGCCCAATCTATAAGAGCATACGTAAAATACATGGGATTGGAGCCACTCCTGTTGCTCAGGGCCTCCCGTTGCCTTCCGAGGCCTCCTGGCGCTTCCTCTGGCCTCCTGGGGCCTCCTGTGGTTTCCTGAAGCCTCCCGGAGCTTCCCGGGGCCTTCTAGAGCCTCTTGGGACATCCTGTTGCCTCTGGAGTCTTTCTGTGGCCTCCTGATGCCTCCTGGGACCTCATGTGGTCTCCTGGGGCCTCCTGGAGCCTGTTGGAGCCTCCTGTGGCATCCTGAAGAGAATCTGTGCCCACGAGTCTGGCCACCGATCGAGACATCCTCAAAATCTGGCCCACCTGGGGGGTGAGAATGAGCGCCTCGCTCGAGACATCCTCCAAATATGCTCCGAAAGCGAAAGATGCTGGGACAGAAAACAGGCAACCCGCTTGTAGCATCCTCACAAAACGGCCGCGAACGGGACCCTGAGATAACCCCTGGCGGCTCCCCTTAGGGTGGTGAAAGTGAGCGCCTCGCTCGGGACATCCTCCAAATCTGCTCCGAAAGCGAAGGATGTTTGATAAAAAACAAGCAAACCGCTTGAGACATCCCCACAAAACGGCCGCGAACGGGACCGTGAGATAACCCCTCGGCGGCTCCCCTTAGGGAGGTGAAAATGAGCGCCTCGCTCAGGACATCCTCCAAATCTGCTCCGAAAACGCAGGATGTTGGGAGAGAAAACCAGTAAACCGCTTGAACCATCCCCACAAAACGGCCGCGAACGGGACCGTGAGATAACCCCTGGCGGCTCCCCTTAGGGAGGTGAAAATGAGCGCCTCGCTCGAGACATCCTCCAAATCTGCTCCGAAAGCGAAGGATGTTAGGGCAGAAAACAAGCAAACCGCTTGAGACATCCCCACAAAACGGCCGCGAACGGGGCTTCCGTGAGTCTGAGCATGAGTAAGTCTGAGTAGGAGTAGGTCTGAGTATGAGGTATGAATAGGTCTGAGTATGAATAAGTTTGTGTGTGAGTTAGTCTGTGTCTGAGTAAATCTGGATGTGAGTCAGTCTGTGTATGAGTAAGTCTGGGTATGAGGAGGAGAAGGGAGGAGAAGAGGGAGAAGAAGAAGGAGTATGAGGCGTCCAAGTCCGCCGGCCCCCTTGCGGGGCCATCAGGCTGCGAGGAGTAAGGTTGCTGCTCCCTGCGCCAGTTCCAGTTTCCAGTTTCAATTGTTACAATATTGTTTTCTGCCTCCTACTGTAAATTGTTACTGTCCGCGCGAGGGGGGAACCGAAAAGGGCCCTGGCTAGCGTCCCCTGAGAAGGTTCTCAGAATTTCTATGGGGGGCGTGGCACATGCAAAAATAAATAAGTTTCGTGCCCCCCAAGCCATAATCCTGCGCAAATTACATTGTATTCGCGCCCCCGAGGCCACGATCCCTTGTAAATTACGCCACCTTCGCGTCTCCGAGGCCACGATCCCTTGTAACTTACGCCACACTTGCGTCTCCGAGGCCACGATCCTTCGTAAATGACTTCGCAATCGCGCCCTCGAGGCCACGATCCTTTCTGTAATTAACCCAACATTCGTGCCCCCGAAGCCACGGTCCCATATAATTTACATCATTTTCGAGCCCCCGAGGCCACGACTCCCCGTAAATTATGACACATTCGCTCCCTGACGCCACGATCACTAGTAAATTACGCCTGCTGAAAAGGCGCTCCCCCTCTCCAAAGCAGAAAAACTGTGATTTTCTGTATTGGGATATGTGCTCCGCTGGTATTCTTTTGCCCCCTCCGTTTCTGGAAAATTCGGCGGTGGGTTCCACATTCACCCCCCCAGGCCACGATCCCTCGCAAATTACACCACATTTGCGCCCCCGAGGCCACGATCCCGCGTGAATTGCGCCACATCCCTCGTAAATTACGCCGCTGTCGCGCCCCCCAGGCCACGATCCCTCGTAAATTACGCCACGTTCGCGTCCCCGAAGCCACGTTCGCGTCCCCGAGGCCCGCAAGTTACACCAAATTCGCGCGCACCCCCCACGCTACGAATCCACCTCGCGGAAGCTGCCCAAAGGCGCCACTCCTTCGCCAGAGCAAAACAAAAATAACCTTCCCAGAGATTGCCTGAAGCAATCCCCAGCCGTTTCCAGAGCGCTTCCAGTGAACAACTGGGGGAAAATGCCAAGAAGGCAACAAAGCGTTCAACAACAACTTCAACATCTCAACCTGTTTTTCTCATCGCCAGCCGCCCTAGCATGACGTTCCCGAATGTCATCAAGACGGCGCCCGAACATCCCAATATAGCTCTGATGTACCCCATTCTGATAGAGAGGGGGCCAGCGGCAGGGGCCGAAGCCCTTTCGGATAATAACAAGAACCCCATCTTAGGACATGGGGAAAAAGACACACAAAATAATCCACAATAGTCGATCACTCGTTCACATACCATTTGTTTGGCTATGTTTGAGTTTTCCTTCTGTAGAAGGGACATACCCGACGTAACCCGAGTAACTAGTCCGGGACGGGTCTCAACACCCCGGAGCCGCCTGTGGCGGCGCCCCTGGGACGCTCCGCGCCCCAGGGTTGGGGTGTTGAGGCCGCCCGCCCTGGACTCCTACTCGGTGGGCCTGTTGTTGCCAGCTGTGACCACTCGGGGGGCTTGCTGAGGCCAGCTGGGACTACCTGCGGGGAGCGAGCGGGGTCTGTGCGCCACCCGGAGATCTCACCACTCTCGGGGGCGCGCAAACACGGATTAGCGATCCATGGATTTGGCGCGCGGCCGCCGGATCCACGGATCGGGGGAGGTGCCCTCCCCAAGATGCGGCCGGTGCCGACTCGTTCGGCGGCGGAAATCCGCGGTTCCCCATGGAAACGGGACCCGTCGCTAATCCCAGACCCCCGACGTGATTTTTCCATAACTCCGACTCCTGGAGGTCTCGACCCATTCCTCTGGACCGGTCTTTCATCCTGAGTTGTTTTTGACGGTCTCGAGGGCTGGTAAGGGCACCCAGAGGCCGAAAATAGCAACAAAAACTCCCGTCCTGATGTTTTCATTTCCCGAGGGCGTCTGGGATCCACGCCCCCTGGATCCATGTTTGCGATCGCCTGGTCTTGCCCCTCTGACCTGAGATGCCGCCGCCCCGCGCGGCAGCCCCCCCCAGGGCGGGCGCCGCGGCGCCGGCGGCGCTGCTCCACGGCCGGCACGCCTCGCAGACCAGGGGCCCGTGCCTCTGCTCGTAGCCGGGGAAGCGGTGGCCCTCGAGGAAGAGGAGGTGCCTCTCGGAGGGGGAAGAGGGACCGACACCGCTGCCCTTGCCTCCGGCAGATAGAAACAATTAGTGGACCCCCCCCTGCTCCCCCAAAGTCCAACTTGGCACGCGCGGGGAAGACTGCGGTCGAAATGCAGCTCGTTGAACCCACCGCCAACATTGATCGGATCATGGGGGGCGCATTGACAAATGAACGCGGCATGCGAGTTCGCCAAGTTCTTCCGAGGCCTGTAGAACTCTCGCCTAATTTGGCCTCCCGGGAGGCCCTCGCCGCCACGGCTGGATTCGCTACGGAATTCTGGTCAGAAGGCACCCCGGGAGAGGTCCAGGGAGTGTAGAAGAAGAAGAAGAAGAAGAAGAAAAAGAAGAAGAAGAAGAAGAAGAAGAAGGAAAAAACGCCATAAAGATACACGTTTGGCGCCCCGCGCAGATTTTTTAGATTCGCTGGACCCCCCTCCCCTGCGCGCGGAGCGCGCCAGGGGCGGCGCCAGAGGCGCCGCCGGGAGGGCCCAGCGCAGATCCCAGAAATCCGCGCGGAGCGGCAAAAGTTTATGCTTACGCCGTTTATTTTCCTTCTTCTTCGACAGAAGGCACCCCGGGAGAGGTCCAGGGAGTGGCGGTGTCGGTACCTTCTTGATTCCCCCGCCTCGGCGCCAGCGCATGCGGAGCCCCCTCGCTGCCCCGAGGAACGAGAAGCGGCAGAAGGCCTGCGCGGACTTCACGGGCTGGCGCTGGGCCGGAACCCCCCCACCTGGCGGCGGCGCCTCTGGCGCTGCCACTTGGTAAGACATGGGTTCCGCGGCTCAACCAGAAAACCGAAAACGTAAGGCACCCCACTCGCCCCGCGGGTAATGCGGCGAGGCTCAACTAGAGCCGCCGCTAAAGGAAACTGCCTCAACTTTTCTCCCTTCAAAATGAACTCCGAAATTCGGAAACGAAACGCTAGCGCAAGCAGCCTGAATTTCGGCAAACGGGAGCAATGGCTAGGAGGAGGAGGAGGAGGAGGAGGAGGAGGAGGAAGAAGAGGGGGAAGGAGGAAAAGGAGGAGGGGGGATGAGGAGGAGGAGGAGGAGTGCCTGCCGCTCAAGTTCCTCACGCCCCTCGTTTTGCGGTTCCTCACGCCCAAGAGGAGGAGGAGTAGGGAGGAGGAGGGAGGAACTCTCATCCGCCTCCTCATCATCCGCTTTTTTACATCATTCCTTATCCTCCTCGCTTCTCCTCCTCCTCCTCCTCCTGCCCCTCCTCCTCCTTTTTTCCTCCCTCCTTCATCCTCCTCCTCCTCCAAATCCTATTCGCACTCCTCCTACCTTCCCCTCCTCCTCCTCCTTCCCCCCGACCCTGCGGCGGGCGTCCTGGCGCCGATCCAGCAGGCGCCCCCCACGTCGCGGCGGGGCGGCGGGGGCTCTCGCTGTCTCTCCCTCTCTCTCTCTCTCTCTCTCTCTCTCTCTCTTTGTGTCTCTCTGTTTCTCAATGGTTATCTCTCCTGGTTTCTCTGTCTCGTGCCCCCGTCCCTACATCTCTCTGACTCGTTCTGTAATGTCTAACTTTCTATCGCTCTCTCTCTCTCTCTCTCTCATGCTCTCTCTCTCTATCTCTGTATCTATCATCCCTCTCTCTCTCTGTCCCTGTCTCTTTCCCCCTACATCTCTCTGACCCGTTATATAATATCTAGCTTGTTCTCTCTCTCTCTCTCTCGCTCTCTGCCTCTCTCTTTCGCCCTCTGTCTCTCTCTGTCTCTCTCTATCTCTCTCTCTCTCTCTCTCCCTCTCCCTCTCTCCTCCTATCTTCCTCTCTCTCTCTTTCTCTCTCCTCTCTCGCTCTCTCTCTCTCTCGTCCTCTCTCTCTCTCTCTCTTCCCTCCTCTCTCTCTCTCTCTCTCTCTCTCTCTCTCTCCCTCCCTCCCTCCCTCCCTCCCTCCCTCCCTCCCTCCCCCCTCCCCCCCCTCTCGTGTTCTGGAGGGACAAGAGGAGGAGGGGGAGGGAGGAGAGAAGGAGGAGGAAGAAGAGGGAGGAGGAGGGAGGAGCTCATCCTCCTCCTCCTCATTCATTTTTTACATCATTCCTCATCCTCCTCGCTTCTCCTCCCCCTCCTCCTCCTCCTGCCTTTCCTCCTCATTCTCCCCTCCCTCCTCCATCCTCCTCCCCCACCTCCTATTCGTACTCCTCCTCGTTTCCTCTCCTCCTCACCCTCCTCCTTCCCCCCGACACTGCGGCGGGGGGGGGGGGCACTCTGCTGTCGGCGGAGCTGCGTCGGCACTCTGATATCGGCACGAGCGTTTTTCAAGGCGGAACCCGCCGAGCTCTCCCACGACCGCAGCGAAGGCGCTGCACCCATCGTCGTTGCTCCAAGCTCTGGGCGGGGGGCCGCCTAAGAGATCGCACCAGCATCACACTCGAGGATCTTGTTGAACCACGCGAGGCGCTCCTCCCACATCTGCTTGCCCCTCTTCTGCTGGAATGTCGAGCCGTTCAGCGCGACAATCGCGTTCTTGAGATTCTCCGAGAATCCGTGCCAGCTCTTGACCCACACAGGCAAGTGGAGCATGTGAGCAACCTCCTTCTCTGTCTTCGTCTTCTTGTTGTTGGCCGTCATGGCGATGACGTAGTAGAGACACGCTGGCGGCAAGTAGACCATCTCGTCGGGCTTGGCACCGACCACGAACGAGTGCGCCTTCATGAACTCGACGCCCGCAGCGGTGTTCGAGAACGAGTCGAAGTCCGCCAGCGCGATGCCCATCTGCAAGAGCGGCTCCATGGCGACCCCGTGGACGAAGATCCGTTGGTCACCGATCGGTTTGATGACGCATGCGAGCCCTGCCAACGGCGAGCAAGCTGGTGCACTGCGACGGTGGCCCTCACGAACGCTCACGATCCAAGGCTTCGAGCCACTCATGTCGATGTCCTCCAGCGTGGAGCCGTACATCGAGGCCCCCTCCAGGACGAACCCATCACCGCACGTGCCACATGCCCCTGCCCACTTGTCGTTCTCCGCCATGGTGCTCTCGAACGTCTCAAGCTTGGTGCTGATCACGTCTTTGTTGGTGTCGAAGATGGCCTTGAAAGGCGAGTCGACCGCACCCGTCCAGTGCACGACGTGCGAGCAGGCGAACTCCTCAGGGCTGGGGTCGACGGAGAAGCACACGCACTTCGGCGCGAAGATCTTCGCCTGCTGAACTGGGTCGCCCTTCGCGTCTGTGTTGGCCAGATGCGTGTCCCCGGCGCTGGCCGTGAACACGACATCGACCAGCAAACCCGCCAAGAACTTCCCGTGCTTCTCGGAAAAGGTGCCGTTCAGGAGTTTGGTTACGATCTGCGTGATCTGCCATCGTCTGTTCATGTAAGCCTTGCGCTGCTGGGTGACTGCCTTCCCCTTCTTCTGCGTCGTGACTGACACCACCTCAGAGATGGTGACTTCCAATGCACTCAGCTTCCCGTACAGCTCGTCCTTCTTGCCCTCCAGCGCCTCCAGCTCGGCGCGGCGAACGCTCTTGCTCTTATCGATCAAGCCCTTGACCTCGGTCTTCAGCGCCTCGATCTTGTGCTCGAGGTCCTCATGGCCATCAGGTAGCTCATCTGGTTGCAACTCGCCTTCGAAGGCGACGCCCTGGGGTGCGAACCCAGCCGAGGCGGAGACTCACTCGTCGTCGCCGTCGTCGTGTTCTTCTGAGGGGATTTCTGCCCACCTCGTGGGGGCAGAAATTCCCTCGCCGTCGTCGTCGTCGGCGTCGTCGCACCCCGAGGCGTCGCCTTTGACGGCCCTGCTGATGTCCACTCGGCACTGCGCCAGCGTGGTCGCGATCCCCCTGGAGCCCGCAATCTTGTCGAAGAGCTTCTCCGAGTCCACCAGCAGCTGCTCCTTCTTGTTGATGAACTCCAAGCTCGCTGTCGGTGGCGTTGGAACCTTATCCTTCTTGACCTTATCAGGTGGGCTTGCCGCAGGTTGCATCTTAGGCTCGGGCTCCTCCTCATCTGCATCAGCGCGCGCGTGTCCTGCAGCTCCACCAGACGAGAAACTGCGGGAGCATGGCCTCGGGCGGAAGGTGGACTGAAGCGACCCCCCAGCAGCGCTGTCGGCCGCATCGGAGTCGGCACCAAGCCTGATGCGGCGCCTCGGGCGGTCACTGTCGTCGTTGCCGTCGTGGCCATCCGTCGGAGTAGTAGTGCGCTGGCCCCGTTTGTGTGTGACCCCCTTGCCCTTCCTCACCATTGCGTTGCCCTCGGTCTTTACCCTCGCGACCTTGTTCCCGTGCTTGTCCGTAGTGTCGTACTTGCCCTTCTGCTCCTCGTGCTCTTCGTCGAAGTCCTCGTAGGCCGTATCTGACCCGACGTCGTCCCACCACTTCCTGTAGTTCTTGTAACGGGTGCGAGTCAGAATGTGCTGATCATCGAGCTGCATCTCACTGTCGACTTGCATGGTCTCCGTGACATTCACTTGGTCGCGGACGGCCGCCCGAGCTTGAGCCCTGCTCGAGGAGTCGGTGCTCAAGAACGGCGTGACGTTACCTCGCCACTTCTCGGGCTCGTTGATCATGTCCTTGTCGTCCTGCTGCTGCAACTGGGGAGAAGCCTTGGCGTTGCGCTTCCTCGATCTCACAGCGTTCCAGCAGGCGGCCGAGTGAAGCCAAATGCCCTTGTGCTGTTTGTCCGCACCTGGGGCCAAGCACAAGTGGCACTGGCGAAGGCCCACGCAACTGATGGCGCCGTCTCCGTCGAGGCTGTCCAGCCCAGCTTCCGACATGCCTCAGCACCTGACCGAAAGGGCCTCGCTGGAAGATGGCAAGCCACAACACTTGAGCCTAAATGGCTACGCGTGGAAGGCTTCTCCCTTCTCTCCTCCTTGTGCCTCCATGTCCCCATGCACCCGTCAGCTTGTCGCCAATCTCTCTGTCTGTCGAGGTTGAGTCGTGGCCCCTGGGGCCCAGCTGTAGCACGCGCTCTCAAGGGCCCGAGGGAGCGGGGGAGGGGAGGGGAAAGAAGAGGGGGCATCATGACCAGAGTAAGACGCAGAGAGGCGGAGGAGAGGAGGAGGAGAGGACGGCGTTGAGGAGGAGGAGGAGGAGGGGAGCAAGAGAGGACAGGAATCAAGGATAGGTGGACGCTCGTCCGTTATGTTTCGCAGTGCTACCCACGACACGCGTGCAGCTGGCGAAGTGCTGGGCTGGCGCGCGTGAGTCTACCGATGCGAAACCGAGGGGTATCGGGGCACCGGAGCACCGAGCAAGGGCCGAATACAAACTAACAGCAGAGGAGTCGCAACCGTCGGAGCAACGATAGGCTCTAGCTGGCTACAACATGCAAAGAAAGCTGTCCTAAGGAAGCGCACCAGAGGCGGCTGCAGCCGTCTACAGAGCAATATGGAACATGAATGGGTGGCTGCAGAGTATGCTTCGAACCTATCGATACTCGGGGGCGCCCTCCTCCCTCCGCAGCAAGTGAAAGCGGTTGACTAGCTCGCACGTCTCGTCGAACATGCCATTGACGTTCTGGACGAGGTCCTGGAGATCCAGAAACTTCTTCTCCAACCTGTACAGGTCATTGAAGATGTCGTTCGCCCCTGGGGGCGGGTCACGATTGCCAGCAAATTCGCGAGTCACGGGCAACAGCACGGTACTGGTGAAGTTAGCCCCGTAGCTCAAGGACATGGCGAGCATGGCCCTCTGAACCAAGCTAAGATGAAA